CTTAACTGAAGGAATACAATTGGTACTTTGATTTTTCCCTTAAATATATTACTTTGCAGAGGTAAAGAGTAAACACACACCTTATGTACAAGGCCATTTTCCAGAATGTCTTCTAGTGTCAGGTCTTCACAGTCTGCTGATAGATCAGTGATGATATCCTGCAGGTAAAAAGTGAGACATTTAGCCATTAGATTAGATTAAAGGCATTTACATGAAACCACAATCTGTGACACACTGTTACAGCAAGAACATGATGTGGTGATATCATTAAATAAATTTCAAGCCTACAAGTAACCGCACGTTAACTTGAGAACAAATGTCTCTTACCACCCCCCACCCCCGAGCAGGGTGTGGGTCCCGGGGGAAATCAGCCTGCATGGGGCCCTGCCCCACAATGCTAGGAAGCCAGTGGCGGATTCGGCGGGGCGGGGGAGTGCCAAGTGGCTGGACGTGACACCGGGCCCCCACAAAGCGCAGGGCCTGGGGTGGTCGCCCCAATTTGCCCCCCCACCCCCAAGATGGCCCTGCACACACATTTAAAAACTCATCAGAAAGATACCAAATAGTACAAGACTCAGATTCATTACTGTGTGAAAAAAAAGTGAAACGTGAGCTATATATTCACACATCTCCACCACATCAAAAGAGAATCTTGGCCCATGTTCCAACTACTCCCTTAAAGCGGCGCCTAAGCTCCTGATGTATCCAAGAACAGACACTCGTCACTTAAATCTAGAAGACTATTTCTCTCTGGTTGCCGATTCAAATGTTCGTTACTGTAGCACTATTTCCTCTAGCCACTACAAAGACATGCACTGTCTGTCTCCTCTAAACCACTGGGGTTTTTCCCATCTCCAGACAGCCAGTGCTACACAACAGACACCATACCTCGAAAGACAGGGTTCCTCTTACTGCAACCACAACAGCCTCTTTTTTGTGATCCAAAGCGACAAAAAATGGAATCTCAAAAATCTGAAGAGGGAAAAAACAAAGTGCTCAACAAAAGAGACCAAGTTTCCACCGTAAGTCAACATTTATTTTTATTTTCTAGAGAGAAATAAAGACACTGAACTTCTATGAAGTTGTATAAACTTGTCTTTGTAAACTCAATCTCTTATCTATTTGCGAGCTCTAAAAAGGAATTGTATTATTCTCATACAAGGTTACAGGAATGTTTTGCTTTACATTGCAACACATCGTTTCAATAAGTCTCTTCCTTCTGTAATGTTAACTTTGGTGTCACTTACCTAAACAAGAACCCTTGGCCCAGGGTTGAAATTGCTTTGTTTGAACATTCTGGTTTTGCAAGGTATTAATTTTAGAACATGACAGTTGGGAAAAGCAAAGCTTTTGGTTTCTTACTGAATTCAAGAAATTGCAGGGAATTGTTCTGGGTTTTTTGGGGGTTTTTTTTAAAATAGCTTCCCAGATTATTACCTTGTTATGAAAGCTAATATGAATGAAATCTCTGTACTGCAGCCCTGTTATTCTTAAAATGGATCCAAAGTGAAAGTTAAAACAATCACCACCAATTATATCAGGATCTGTCGCTCTGCTTCTGCAACTAAGAAAACAAAAAGAGATTAAAGTGAACTTGCAAGTTCAAGCTAGTCACATTTCCCTTCAGGAACAGATTTCAATTACATTCATGGAGGAGTATGTGTCTATTCATAGTTCAAAGTCTAGCTTCGAAGCTACTGCTTTAAGGCTTTAAGAAAAATACACAAAAGTAATTACTGAGAAGTTCTGATATAATCTTGAGAAACTCATGAAAAGAATGGAGAATCTAAAATACAAAAACAGTTCTCCAGAACAAATTCATTTTAACCACAGCTACACATTCAGCTCTGAGTTTATCCAGGTATTCGATTTCTCAAGTTTTTGTACTGCCACACCTCACAAGATGACATGTCATGCCAATAATCAAGGCTGGATGGCAGATTTATTCACTCTTTGTTTCACATAAAAGGTGACAGAAGAGATCATATATGTATATGGGATTATGCCTGAAGCTACAGATTTAAGATACTGCGCCAACTTACCAGTCACGGTTAAGTCTACAGAGAGCAGTAAATGGGTTAGTGAATATATAGTATGGCCATCCATAAGCAGCTGCAGCAAACTGCATGTAGTGAGCAGCATTTTCTAATTCAACATCCAAATCATCAGCCTGAGGAGGGGAAAAAAGCCCAGATTAAAGGCTTCAGGTACACACGTTACTTCACCATTACAGCCTGAATCTTTTCAACAGCACTAGCAGTCCAATTAAATTTAACTTCTTACATTTTCAGTACAAACTTTACATAGAAGAAAGCCCTAAATATTACAGGGGAACAGGCCACCCTTAAAGAAGCTCAGCCTTATTTTACAGACAGCATTACGTTTCTCTCTCACAAATAATAAACCAAGGGTTTGGAAAAATGCCAGTTATTTAAAATAATCACTGTTTCATTATTTCACTGTCTGCTATTTGTATTGAAAACTGAATGCTTGTTTCAACTAAGTTGTTTGGGGGACAGGTCTGATGGGAGGAAAAGTTTTGGATTTTTCTAACAGATTAATCTAGCAAGAGTTGTTCTTTCGATCCGACTCTCTGTTAGCTGAATCCAGGAGCAAGTCGGGGGGGGGGGGGGGGGGG